ATACGGATCAAATTGACATTAATTTTTCAGCGCTCAATATCACAGCGTAGAAGAATGCGAGATAAAATGAAGAAGAAAAAAAACGGGGGAAAAAGTACTCAAAATGAAATATTGTTTTCATTTGGGGATGGTGAAGGGGAGGGTGGTTCTGATAGAACCTAGGTTACGTGACAGGCTAGGCTTGTAGATACCAATGATTAACAGCGTTCCAAATCGGTTCGTTTAGCTAATATTGAAAGATTGATACGGCGTGCAAATTGAAATGGAATTCTAATTACTGCTCAACTCGACTCGTTCGAATTTCATTATTTATTTCTCTCTTTTATTCCCGCTCTTTCTTTCTCTTTTTTTATGGTTAATTGAGCTTCAGTTCAATGGAATGCAATGGAATGGCTGGAATACGGTTCCAATAATGGCAACTCATTTGCGCGGAGTGAATATCTCAGGAATAAATAAATAAATATTAGGGAAAGCCATAGCTTGTGTGTGGGAAAATACGATGTCGATCTTATTACGTGTGTCGCGCTTTGATGGAGATAAAATAAGGGAGGACGGAGGGTGGCTAAATGGCTAGGGGGTGTAGAAGATGAAGGGATCTTTCCTTTTGCATCGCTTCACAACACACGTCGTTGAGTTTTACATCTGATCTCGGATCAAGTCTTTAAATTTACTTAAATCTTAACTGTCAATCCTATTTTATTTCTATTTAGTATACATCATGAAAAGTACACAAATAATGTTGAAAAAAGTTATAAAAAAAACACATATTTTGAAACTAATACTAATTTTATAGAATTAATTAATGTAGAATCTACATTAAACGAAAATCGTGTTGTAAAAGTATTGTATTATAGGATGATAAATAGACTTTATCTAATTTAAGCGCCAATTAAAGATTAAGAATAAAAATACGCTGAGTAATATTTCTGCTAGTAAATCCTGAGTGTAATTGTGAGTTAATTTAGTGTATTATATGATTATGCATCGCGTTATAAGAGTATTATTGGTTGTAATTTAGTAAGCTTGGAATCGTGTTGTAAAAGTATTTTATTATCAGATATATATATATAGCTTTATATGTTTTGTAAACTATCAATGGTGTTAAATAGAAGATGGTTTTGTTGAAATTTGTCATGCAGCTGACAATTTAGATAAATATAGCCGTCGGTAGTCCGTGACATCAGCTGTTTCCGTTTCGTATCTTCCGTGCATTTGGGATTGCCGGTTATGTATTTTAAATGAGATCATTGGGGATTCCGTGTTGCGGTCCTTGGATTCTAATTCGCATGTTCCACTTTGTTCCAGGGTACAATACCTATACTTACAACGAGAGCGCCCACACCGAACGTGTCCCAGATGAGATTCTGTCTGTCAGATACGAAGATGGGAAGTGGTCGAAACCGTACTACGACTGCGGCGGTGGAAACATCTGGATGCTCACATATACCGTTCCCTTTTTCGGATACAACAACAACACCTACTTCTTCAAGTAAGTCTTTCATACATTTATTTCCATCTCTCCCTTTCGCACTACCCCCATGCATCATTACGATTACCATATTCGCATCATTGGTTCCGCCAATCATTGCCAGCGCTTCTCTCAAAGGCTCCTTTCACTCACTTTGCTCTTACTCTCTTTTACCTTTCATATAAACATCAAACTAAACAGGTAGAAATACGAAATATATATATATATATACATATATACCTACGCTCTTACGTGTATGCATATTTTTTTTTGTACCTGTGCCCTTTTGTCCCTTGTGTGCTCTCATTTTTATTCAGACTCGCAATGCGGACGCTCTCCAACTATTACCACTTTTCTACAATTAACTTCATTCATTAATATTTTATCATAAAAATTACATTATTATGTAATTATTTAATTAAAACAATATCAAAAAAACATATAACAATTGCTTAATCAAATTTTTATTTTTTGGTATAGTTATATAATAGGCTTCTTCGTTTACAGGATGAAATTGCATTGCAAAATTCTCTATATTTCAGAATGTCTAGTCTACATTGGCGCCTATTCCGGAGCTTGTTAAGGCGTCAGCCAGAGTGTAACTAATTCATTTATATGCCCGAATATACACGCGTGATTAAACCGCCCCCGTCGCTACACAAGTCTTCTTACGTAATGCAGCATGTCGCGCGCTCCAAAATAAACGCCCTTGTAGTTTGGTTCTCTTCTTCGCCCTCTCAAAAGTAAATTTAAAAAAAGCAGTAATTAAACGCTTTCACCCAGTGAAACTGTAACCGGAGGTGGTGAAAATCGTTCTGATTAAATTCACATCACAACAGAAACACCCCAGTATTTGTAGCGTAAACCCTTACATTTTTTTTATTTGTCGAATCGTGTTTTTTCCCATCATGTTTGTTGCCCTTTCCCGAATGCAAATGCCGCCTTTGCATCTATTAAACATGAGTATCCAGCGCAGGAAATGAATGTCCAATTAAAGAAATATAAATTAACGCAATGAAAATGTACAGCTCGTGCAAAAAATGCATATAGGATAGGTTCTTTATTAATCGACGGTGAATGGACTTATTTATTGAAATTACATTTTAACGGTTCGTACCATGTTTATATATATATATATAAGTTTTAGTTTCATTTTTTTTCTGCGTTTCGTGCATTCGGCATGGAAATTAGGCACGAAATTTTCTATAAAAATATGTATATTTGTACACGTATACCAAACACATTAACGTTTCCATCACGTGCATATGTTTATTTCGAGTCGTGGGGTCCACTCAAATGGTCCTGATAATACCCAGATAGCGGATCGCAGCTCAAGGGG